GTCCCTAGGCCTGGCTGGTGATCAGGGCCGATCTGTGGGGTGATTGGCAGGGCGATCGGGGGGCCCCTGCTGACACCTGCCTTGGCCAGCCTGGCGCCGCCTGTTTGCCCGCCTCGCCCCCTGCCACCACTGCTGGTCACCTCCCTCTGTGGGGCGACCGGCGGGGCAATCAGGGGCCTCCTCTGGCACCCGCCTTGGCTGGCCTGGGGCCTGTGGGCTAGGGGCAGCTCCTGCATTGAGTGTCTGCCCCCTGGTGGTCAGTGTGCATCATAGCAACTGGTTGTTCCGCCATTCGGTCGATTTGCATATTAGGCTTTTATTATATAGAATTAATTGATTTGAGAGAAAGGGTGAGAGAGACATTGATTTTTTGTTCCACTAATATAGGCATTCATTGGTTGATTCTTTTATGTGCCCTGACCAGGGATTGAACTCGCAACTGATCATATTGGGCAATGCTCTATCCAACTAAGATACCTGGCCAGGGCTGCTTTGCCTTCTCAAACAAGTCTTTACTTTTATTTTTTAATTTTGGGCCAACATTTTATTGAAATATATACAGAAAACACAGATTATAAATGTACATGAATTTTCAGGGAGTGAAATAACTTCTTATTTGTGTAAGTTCTTTTTATTGAGGTAACATTTACATATGCACATACTAAGCATGCAATTTGATTAGTTTTGACAAATAGATGCACCTCTGTAACTCCCACTCCTCAGAAGGTTGAACGAATCTTACAGTATATTCTGCTCACATCTCCCTTATAAAAGTTCCTTTTGGCAACATCAGAATATCACAAGGTTTTGCATTTTTTGGTGTCTATCTAGTTGCCCTGCTCCATCTATGAGGAATGTCCTAGAGGCCTAATTTCACTGCAATAATGCACAAACCAAAGGCTTTCTTCTCTCATAAGAATTCTTGTAAACAAAAGCTCATTGAGAATGGTGCTAGGTGGATCTCACTGTCTTCACTCCTGGAGACAGCTCACAAGGGGAGAAAAGAGCAGTGTGACTTAGGGATTATTTAAGAACATTATTATGCTTCTGCTGAACAATAATTTTTATGGTACTTGTATTAGTTACTTATACCTGTATAACTACTCTTAAATGCTTTTTATGTTGATTGATATTAGTATTTCTACAGGATTTATTTATTTTTTAAAATATATTTTTATTGATTTCAGAGAGGAAGGGAAAGGGAGAGAGAGATAGAAACATCAATGATGAGAGAGTATCATTGATCAGCTGCCTCCTGCACGCCCCCTACCTGGGATTGAGCCCGCAACCTGGGCATCTGCCCTTGTCTGGAATTGAACCCAGGACCTTCCAGTCCACAGTCCAACGCTCTATTCACTGAGCCAAACCAGCTAGGGCTATCCTTAAACTTAGCAGTTTATCACAATAAGCATTTATTTATACTTCTGTGAGTCAGGAATCTGGTGGCAGCTTCTCTGGATGATAAGGGTCAGAATCTCATAAACCTGTCAAGGAGTCCAGCAGAGCTTCCGGCCTTGGAAGGTTTAATGGGACTAAAGTTTCAGCTTCCAAGATGCACTCGTTCACCTGATTGTTGGGAGAAGGCCTTGCCAGTGGGCCTCTCCATTGAGCTCCCGAGTGTCTTCCAAACATGGCAGTTCATTCCCCCCAGCTGGTTACACCCAAGACAGTGGAAGGCAGAAGCCACAATGTCTTCTATGACCTAACCTTGGAAGTGATGTACTCTCACTTCTGCCATATTCTATTGGCTTCACAGATCAATCCTGATACATTGTGAGAAGGGATTTGATAGGAGATGGACATCAGGAGGCAGAATCATTGGGGACCATCCTGTATGCTGGCTTCCACAGCACCTTCTCATATGTACAAATACATATGTACAAAGCCTGGAAGAGAATATTAGCCATTCACATTGATCATAAAATTCAGCCAAATTAAGTGGCAACAATTATCTTAGGAATTTTACTCCCATAAGATATGGAAATGAGTTTTCTATTTTTTTCCAGTTGTTCACTAGTTGAATATTATATGTCCTTTTTACTTTTGCTGAGGAAGTTCCCTGCTCTGTAGCTATCTATTTCTAATTTTGACTTCATAGTTAAGTCTTGTTATAGTTCCAAGTGAGTCTCCTTAACACTGAGTGGCTAGGAGCCTACTCATCACCTCTTTGTTTTCATAGGCATGAAAAAGCCAATGACAAAGTCCAAGCTGATCGAATATGGTCTCCCGGTGTGGTTGACTGGTGAAATATTTTTATTTCTGAGTAAATATTCATTTTTCCTCATTTTCATCTCTGAATTCTTATCCTTTCAGGATACCGGAATCAAAATGAGATAGAGACTCTTCAACAAGTTGGATTAAGGGACCTTTTTCATGAAGACCTTGTGTGCTGGCCAATATGGGAACAAATCATGAGTAAGTTAACCAGAAATCAAGACTTGATAATAAATCTACAAGGCAAGAGGTCTGATTTGCCAATTCAAGGCGATTCCTTCTGCCAGTTGTGGGCAACAGAATCTACTCAGGTTTCTGAAGATGAGAACTATGTAATAAAGGTTCAAGGGGAAGTTCAAAGTGCCAATAGTATAAAAAATCAAGATTTTCCAAGTAAGACCGCCTGGGATTTCTGGAGAGAGTCACAGAATTATCAGAGTAGGTGTCAGCAGTTTGATGGGAAATGTAAACTGTGTAAGTGTGATGGTTGTGATATTAAAAAGACCTCTCATGACCATGATGATGATCAGGAAGTACATAAAGGTGAGAAGTCATGTAGCCACAAGAATTGTGGGAAATGTTTCATGAAGACATCATTTCAGCATAATGGAGTTCATGCAGGAGAGCAGAATTCTCATGAGAATGGACAAGGCTTCAGTTTGGGCCCCAGTCTTGAACTTCATCAGCAGTTACACCTAGGAGCAAAATCTCATATGTGCAGTGAGTGTGGGGATGGCATCAGTTATAGCTCGCTGCTTTGCACTCATCAAAGTGTTCTCACAGAAGAGAAATTCAGTAGGAATGGTGAGTGTGGTGAAGACTTCTGTCAAAGCTTACATCTGCAAATTCATCAGAGAATCAACACAGGAGAGAAGCCCTACAAATGTGCTGTGTGTGGGAAAGGCTGCATGTGTAGCTCATATCTTCATGGTCATCAGAGGTTCCACTCTGGAGAGAAACCCTACAAATGTGCTGTGTGTGGGAAAGGCTTCAGTCGGAGTTCACATCTTCAAGTTCATCACCGAGTCCACACTAGAGAGAAACCCTACAAATGTGCTGTGTGTGAAAAGGGCTTCAGACTGAGTTCACAGCTTCATGCCCATCAGCGAATCCACACTGTAGAGAAGCCATACAAATGTGAGGCATGTGGTACGGGCTTTACTCATAGTTCACATCTTCAAGAACATCAACAAGTCCACACTGGAGACAAACCCTACAGATGTTCTGTGTGTAGTAAGAGCTTTAGTCAGACCTCAAGTCTTCAAGCCCATCAGCGAATCCACACGGGAGAGAAACCCTACAAATGCACTGTGTGTGGTAAGAGCTTTAGTCAGAAATCACATTTGCAAGTTCATCAGCGAGTCCACACTGGAGAGAAACCCTACAGATGTACTGTGTGTGGGAAAGGCTTCATGTGGAGCTCATATCTTCATGTTCATGAGAGGATCCACACAGAAGAGAAACCTTACAAATGTGGGGTGTGTGGAAAGAGCTTCAGTCAGAGTTCACATCTTCAAGCCCATCAGCGAATCCACACTGGAGAGAAACCCTACCAATGTGCTGTGTGTGGTAAGAGCTTCAGTCGGAGTTCACATCTTCAAGGCCATCAGCGATTCCACACAGGAGAGAAGCCCTACAGTTGTGCTGTGTGTGGTAAGAGCTTCAGTCAGACCTCAAGTCTTCAGTACCATCAACGTGTCCACACTGGCGAGAAACCCTACAAATGTGAACAGTGTGGGAAAGGCTTCATGGTGACCTCAAGTCTTCATGTTCATCAGAGGATCCACACAGGAGAGAAACCCTACAAATGTAGCGTGTGTGGGAAGAGCTTCAGTCAGACCTCAAGTCTCCAGACTCATCAGCGAGTCCACACAGGAGAGAAACCCTACAAATGTGCTGTGTGTGTGAAGAGCTTCAGTCGGAGTTCATATCTTCAGTCCCATCAGCGAGTCCACACTGGAGAGAAACACTAAAAATGTACTGTGTGTGGTAAGAGCTTCAGCCATACCTCAAGTCTTCAAGACCATCAGCGAATCCACACTGTTGACAAACCCTACAAATGTTAAGAGTGTGGGAGAGGCTTCAGATAGAGCCTGTATCTTCAGGTTCGTCAGAGGATCCACACAGGAGAGAATCCCTATAAATGTCACCTGTGAGGCAAGACCTTCAGTCTCACGAAGTCTCATCTTCAAGCTCATAAAAATGTGAGACATGCCATAAGGGCTTTAATCACAGTTCACGTCTTCAAGAACATCAATGAGTCCACACAAAAGACAAACCCTACAAATGTGCTAGCTGTGGTAAGAGTTTCCAGTCAGACCGCAGTCTCCAAACTCATCAGCAAATCCACACTACAAATGTGCCCTGTGTGCTAAGAGGTTCAATCAGACTTCACTTCTGCAAGTTCATCAGTGAGTTCACAGTAGAGAGAAACCCTACAAATGTGCTGTGTGTGAGAAAGGCTTCATGTGGAGCTCGTATCTTCACGTTCAACAGAGGATCCACTCAGGACAGAAACCCTATAAATGTGACATGTGTGGTAAAAACTTCAATCAGAACTCAAGTCTTCAAGCTCATCAGAGAGTCCACACAAGATAGAAGTTATTACAAATGTGAGATATGTTTCATAATTAGGTTTTTTGTGTTTAAATATAAAATTCCTTTCTTAATATTTCTCTTTTAAAAATATTTTTTATTGATTTTAGAGAGAGAGGGGAAGGGAAAGGGAGTGATAGAAATATCAATGAGAGAGAAACATTGATTGGCTGCCTCCTGCACATACTTTACTGGGGATTAAGCCCAAAACCCAGGCATGTGCCCTGACCAGTTGGTGCATAGGACAACACTCAATCCCCTGAGCTACACAGGCCTGGTTTAATATTTCTTTAAAAAAATATTTTTATTGACTTCAGAGAGGAAGGGAGAGGGATAGATAGGAATATCAGTGATGAGAGAGAATCATCAATTGCCCGCCTCTTGCACACCACCCACTAGGGATGAAGCCCGAAATCCGGGCATGTGCCCTGACCAGGAATCGATCCATGACCTCCTGGTTCATAGGTTGACACTCCGCCATGGAGCCACACCTGCTGGGCTTAATATTTCTTTTTACTTAACTTTTTATAACAGCATTTTAAAATAAATTTTAAAAGTGATACCATAAAAAGATTATTATTTTTTTTAATTAAATCTTTATTGTTCAGATTATTAAATTTGTTCCTCTTTTTTCCCCCCCCCATAACTCCCCTCCTTCCAGCTCCCACCCCACCCTCCGCCCTCACTCCCCACACACTGTCCTCATCCATAGGTGCACGATTTTTGTCCAGTCTCTTCCCTCTTCTCCCACACCCCTTTTCCCCCCAAGAATAGTTAGTCCGTTCCCTTTCTATGTCCCTGATTCTATTATAATCACCAGTTCATTCTGTACATCAGGTTATTTATTCACTTGATTCTTAGATTCACTTGTTGATAGATGCATATTTGTTGTTCATAATTTGTATCTTTACCTTTTTCTTCTTCTTCCTCTTCTTAAAGGATACCTTTCAGCATTTCATATAATACTGGTTTGGTGGTGATGAAGTCCTTTAGCTTTTCCTTATCTGTGAAGCTCTTTATCTGACCTTCAATTCTGAATGATAGCTTTGCTGGATAAAGTAATCTTGGTTGTAGGTTCTTGCTATTCATCACTTTGAATATTTCTTGCCACTCCCTTCTGGCCTGCAAAGTTTCTGTTGAGAAATCAGCTGACAGTCGTATGGGTATTCCCTTGTAGGTAACTGAGTTTCTTTCTCTTGCTGCTTTTAAGATTCTCTCTTTGTCTTTTGCTCTTGGCATTTTAATTATGATGTGTCTTGGTGTGGTCCTCTTTGAATTCCTTTTGTTTGGGGTTCTCTGCGCTTCCGGACTTGTAAGTCTATTTCTTTCACCAGGTGGGGGAAGTTTTCTGTCATTATTTCTTCAAATAGGTTTTCAATATCTTGCTCTCTCTCATCTTCTGGTACCCCTATAATTCTGATGTTGGTACGTTTGAAGCTGTCCCAGAGGCTCCTTACACTATCTTCGTATTTTTGGGTTCTTTTTTCATTTTGCTTTTCCGGTTGGGTGTTTCTCGCTTCTTCGCATTTCGAATCTTTGACTTGATTCTTGCGCTCCTCTGGTCTGCTGTTGGGAGTCTGTATAATATTCTTTATTTCAGTCAGTGTATGCTTACTTTCTAGATGGTCCTTTATCACACCATCGAGGGTCTCATTAGATTTCCTGTACATCTCATCAAGTTTATCGACAGACTCTAGAAGCCTCTTGAGAGACCTCAAAAGTGTGGTTCTGAACTCAATATCCTCCCTTGATAGTTTTGTCCTGTTTCTTTGTCTCCGCATTTTTTACGCTTTCTTGGTACACCCCCTAGTGGTCTTTGTGCTCACTCTTGTTGTAATTAAGCCTTGATTGTTGTAGTTAATACTAGAGGGATTTGACCTCCAGGCCGACTGGCTGTGTTAATCAGCTGTGTCTGCAGTGGAAGAACTTGTGTCCTCTAGGGAGGTGCTAATCTAGCCTTTGCCTGAGGCTATCCGGCAAATGCCTCTGTGCAGGGCTTGGGCGGGGCGGGTCCCACGGGATCAACAGGGCGGAGGAGGGAGCAGTTATGGCTGCTCTCAGTCCGTCCCCAGGGGCTCTGCTTCTCTGTCCCAGCAACCACTGCAAACCTCGGAGGGACCGTAGCCAGACAGTCCTGCTTCTCCCGTTTGAGTCTGGGTCCCTAGAGACTCGCCCGGATCTGGAGCTCTGAGTCTGAGGCTCCCTCCGGATTGAAACAGACAACCGCGCCCTCAGCCACCAGCCCGCGCTGCGCACACTCCTCACCTTAGTATTTTACTTCAGCACTGCGCCTCCTCTGATTCTCGGTTCCTCCTAGTTGTAGAACTTCCACTCAGCCAGCCTTCCTGTGGTTCTGGATGATGTCCGTTCCGTCTTTTAGTTGTATTTTTGAAGTGGTTGTTCGAGGCAGCAAACTCCGGCGTTAACCTATGCCGCCATCTTGGTTTTTTCTAAATAGCTTTAAAAAAAATTCTTTCTCATATAACTGTCCAAAGGCAGGCAGTTCAAGATTCTTCAGGGATGCATTCCTTCTGTCTTATAGGTCTGCTATTGTTGGGGTACCTTTGTCTGCAAGGTCCTGGGTAGTTCCTCACCACATTCACTTTCCAAGCAATGGGTTGGAGGAGAGAGGAAGAACATGTCCCCTCAACTAAGGGAGACATGGATAATAAATTATGTTCTTCACTTCTGTGCATAACCCATTATGTGGAACTTTACATAGCCACCCATCTACAAGGGAGCATGGGAAATATTTTTATTCTGAGTGTCCTTGTGCCCACCTAAAATCAAGGAGAAACAGAAAACAGATCTTGAGGGACAGCTAATAGTCTTGGCCACATTTCATCCCTTTGGCTGTGTTTACATTACTCATTCTCCATAGAGAATATGCTCATTCCCTTCCCAAGGAATCCAGTTCCAAATCCCATCCTGTTCCTACATCTAGGTCAAGGTCGAGGATGCTCTGGGTGGGATCAGCCCCCCACATCAGTTCCAATGTGGTTCTTTGTGATACGGTGACCTATGAACTAACACACAATCTTCCCATGAAGACCCAATTTAAATGAAGGAGCAGGAACAGAATAACTGAAAAACTCCCATC